GCTCCCCCGCCATAGGTGAGGAACTTAGCAGCGGGGGGGCGATTGATGATGCTAGCCCGGCCGTTAGCATTATCGAGGGAGGGATCTCGGGGGCTAGCGACCCCCACAGTTGCTATATCGTGACGCCTGGGGTCTGAAACCGCGTTAAAGGCTAAATAAAAGAACCCTCTGCAGTCTGAGTCCGGAGTCATTACAATTGTAACGATTCATTATTTCACGGGCTAATATTGGGTTTGTGCGATTATTTTAAATATTCATACTGAATATTGCTATTTGATGCCATTGAGATGGAACATTCATCCAGCAGTGGACAGCTTGATCCTAATACCACCAAAATGTTATTCAAATAATTTTAATCTCATCCTGATCCTGCACCTTCATGTTTCACATATCACACCCTTGGTTCGCACGTCCATATTACATACATACATGTTATATACATGCATGTACCATGTTACATACATACATGTTACATGCATACATGTTACATGCACATATACTGAATACATACAGATATGTTGCATACATACATGTTACATACTTACGACCGTAGTGTGATTCGAAGAGGACCACGGAGTGATTCGAGTAATTCGAATGCGATTCGAATATCACACTTCAATTTAGGTTGTTCAAATCTATAACACTAGTTAATTATGTTATTGTATAGTGTTATAATGTATAGCTCATAGGTTATATTGTTAGAGTTCACAAATTTAGAGTTTACTAACAATACTAGTTTACAGTAATTTTTAGATTACTGTATATGTGAATGTTTTTAAGTTACCATTGTTGAAGTTCATAATGTTAAAGTTTACAGTGTGGGAATTTACAATGTGAGAGTATATCCAAGACGTCGATCGATGGCGTTGGTCTGGTAGGTTGGTGTCACGGGACACCAACATGCTGCCGATATAACAGTAACAGAAGCAACTACAGCAGCTACGAAACCATTCGATGGCAAAGCAGCGACTTCTTCAATCTGAGAGTTTGTGGCCGTGCCCTGTTCTCGTGGGACCCGACACGGATTTTGAAATAATTGCTATGATCATGTCTGAGCTGGGATGAGCGACTAATGTTTACTTTGTTTAATCATAACTGTGTGCAGGTTAGTGCCATCGGGGCTTAGTGAATACTACTCATGAATGAACTCATACTTCTTTCGGATAGAAATTTGAAATCGTGTTGGTAGAACAAGTCGCCTGCCTTTTTTAGACGAATTGTTATTTTCAAGTGCGTCCGTAAATATACTGCTAAAATACACAGCATAGGGAAGGCTGCCTTGTTGGGGAGATGTAGTTTGGCTAAGGCGCTGTGGCCGGGTAATGACACGGATTCTGAAACAATGGAGTTAAACACTCGCTGCTTGGCCCCGTCGACAGCAGCGAAGGCTGTCATATACCGCCCCATTTACGAGTTCGCTGTATAATGTGTATAGTTGAAGGTGCTAGGTGTTGTCTTCCAACCGCTACTAACGTGCGTGTGTTGTCTGTTTTTACGATTTGTCTATTGATGTTGTTCTTTTTATTGCGGCGTTTTTTTGTTGAGTTCTGTCACTTGAGTGTAGCAATTTGTTTAAGAATTCGTCACGTGAGCGTGGTGTTTTGCTTGTGGGAATTTCGCTTTGTTACAATTTGTGATTGTTATAATAATTGTAAAGATTCATAATCTCATGAGTTAAGAATGGGTTTGTGCGTGATTCTTATACGATCACACTGTAATTCTAATGCTTCTAATGATATTATAATACCTTACCTCCGTTTAAATGGTTATAAATTAAACACTAGTTTATAATCGTTTAATGTTTAGTGTTATCGATAATAGTATTACAGTTTACATGTTATAGAGTACAGTTTATCCCCGACATACTTAGGGATTATCGACTGGTACGTTGATGAACTATTAACTACGGGGACCTTTCCCCTCAAGGAACACGTGTTAATCGGGTAGACAGCCAAGTTGCTGCCGGTTAAGGGCACACTTGTGTGACGGAGATCCTCCACCTGAAATTCTCTCATATTTTTGCTAGGAACATTATAAAATAAAGACCGGACAAACATTTGTTAAAAATACTTTTTATTAATCTGCAATCATTTTTACGTCAAAACTCGAAGGAAATATGTATTATGTCCTATGTTCACACATTTCCAGTAGGATGCAAACCATTTCCGTTCCAGGAATACCAAAGCATTTCCTTATTAGTTCACCACATTTGTTAACTGTGCGTCTATGTTGAAGTCAAGGCCATATATCAATGTACATCCTGAAATCGGCTATCTAAAGTCGATTAATACCAATCAAAAAAACTTTATACTTGAAAACTGAAACGTTTAAAATGTTGAGTAAAGATGTACCTACAGACGCATTCCAACTTTAGCTCAACAGGAACACTTAACGACTACAATTGAACAGTCTCACAACCAGTGCTCATCACACCACTTCGGCAAGTAATCCGATAACATTACAAACCACCACTGTGCACGTAATTAAACTCACAAAAACTGTAAAACTAAAATGGTCAAAATTACACACAAAAGTACTCGATATGGCTTAAAAGGTATAACCACCTGACGTAATATTTTTTCAGTCACCCCGAGCTCTCTGGTTGACTCTCGTGCCACTCCATTACATCCAGCCATCCCTCGGGATCCAACTGCATGGGATCGAAGGTGGAATTATCTTCAGGACTCATTGGAGCACCTTGAATTTCAGCTTTTGATTTCAGTTTCCTATCATTGTGGACCTTTTGATGCCTGTTCATGGTTGATGACCGTGCAAATGCCTTCCCACACACAGGGCACAGGAATGGCTTCTCGCCCGTGTGCGTTCTCTGATGAGTTTGAAGAGCTGTCGATTGTGCAAATGCCTTCCCACACACAGGGCACAGTAATGGCTTCTCGCCCGTGTGTGTTTTCTTATGATCTTGAAGAGTTGATGAGTGTGCAAATGCCTTCCCACACACAGGGCACAGGAATGGCTTCTCGCCCGTGTGCGTTCTCTGATGAGTTTGAAGAGCTGTCGATTGTGCAAATGCCTTCCCACACACAGGGCACAGGAATGGCTTCTCGCCCGTGTGTGTTCTCTGATGAGTTTGAAGAGCTGTCGATTGTGCAAATGTCTTCCCGCACACAGGGCACAGGAATGGCTTCTCGCCCGTGTGTGTTCTCTGATGAGTTTGAAGAGCTGTCGATTGTGCAAATGTCTTCCCGCACACAGGGCACAGGAATGGCTTCTCGCCCGTGTGTGTTCTCTGATGAGTTTGAAGAGTTGATGAGTCTGCAAATGTCTTCCCACACACAGGGCACAGGAATGGCTTCTCGCCCGTGTGTGTTCTCTGGTGTCTCTGAAGATGTGATGGCCATGAAAATGTTTTCCCACACACAGAGCAATTGAATGGCTTCTTGCCTCCGTGTACGTGGGGCTGTGGAGAGCGTCTCTGCTCCATGTGAGCGCAGCGCTGTTATCGAGTCAAAAGTACGCTATCGGCCGCAAGGATGTTTAACGTTGAGTTTTGGATTTTGTTAACTGCTAAAACATGAACGACACTCGCGTCTAACCCGAGACGCAAAAAAATCCCGTAAATATGACGACAAACACGTTTAAGAGTTTATCCGCGAAAATAGACACTTACTTGGAGATTCACGGTATATGGATGTCTGGAACCCGTTTGAAGATGTCGCCACGAACTCTCCCGACGCAAAGTCGCCTAACTGTCGACTCAGCAATTGTGCTCGCCAGGCTGCGTTGTCTCGCGGTTGAAGGGCGATCAGCAGAGCGACGAGTCGAGCGTCCAACCTCATCAAGTTCCCTCTCGAAATGGCATTGAGCTCTGCTTCTGAGCCGCCTTATAACTCCCCCCCCTAGGATCCAATCCTTTGTCTTTCAGGATATTTGCATTCGATTGTTAATTTTGGAAGGTACAATCCGCATGTCTATTAACATACCGAAGGGTAATGTGCCCATTGTGCTTCATGCATGAATATGTAAGTTAATCTCAGTGTATAATTGCGTGCTTATTTTGAATAAATGGGATTATCGCTGGAAAAACAAGTTCCCCATGCCATCCATTGTCCTCGATTATAATCCCTTAACTCCATTTACGTGATTATACACTATAACAATTGATAGTATTTTACAGAGTTATAATTGATAGGTTGTAGTTCATCGTTTATAATATTATATACTCTTTGGTTCTTTCAGTAAAAGACACATAGGCATTAAATAAATCACGACGTTTCAGGCGCAACACAAGCGTCCGTCATGTGTGAAAGCATGGTCTGCTGCTGAGGCAGAATGTTTTAAAAGGTTTGAAATGGGTGTAGACCTCGGGTCATAAAGAAGTGGCCGGGGCTAGTGATGTTCACGTGAGAAATTAGCATGTAACTTTAGAAAGGAGGAGAGCGGCCTTCTCAACGAGAGAGTGCAACCCAACGGGTACAATCCCAAGGGCATGTGAGTATGAGAGTGCAATCTAAAGGACATGCTGCTTCTGCTGCCCGGCTATTTGTGGCCGGGCCCTGCTCTCGCGGGACACCACACGTCTTTGGAAATGAATACTATGATCATGTCTGAGCTGAGGTTTGAGCGAATAAAGTTTACTTTGTGTAAACATAACTGCGTGTTGGTTTGTATAATCGGGGATCAGCGAAGACTACTCATGAATGAAAACGCACTCCCTTATGACGGACATTGTACTAATTTTTGTTGATCGAGTAGAACAAGGCACGTGCCACGTCCAGACGAATTATTATCAACAATCTTACTTGCGCAGCAGCATCACGTTGCCGTCCACTCATTGATATGCTAATTTTATCTGCCCCCTCCCTCTCTCCGTCCCCGCCCCCCTCTCTATATTTAAGGGACCGTCACAGAAACGACCCCTCTCTATGTGCCGATATGTGTCCTCTCTCTGTGTGTCCTTGTGATGTCTGTCTGCTTGTATGTCTGTCTATAGTTTTCGAGTTAGATTTTTGTTGCAATTTCTTTTATGCCTGATGATGATTGCTTGTATTGCAATCGAAACGTCGTAATATGCTATTATTTTAATTTATTATTTTATCTTTAGACGTGACTTAACCGAAAGAACCAAAGAATAGTTCCAGTGGTGTTCCGTGATGGGATAACAAACTTTGATCAATACTTTTATCAAACGAGTCATTACAATTGTAACGATTCATAATTGCAAGGGCTTATTTTGGGTTTGTGCAATTATTTTACATATTCATACTGAATATTGCTATGTGATGCCATTGAGATGGAACATTCATCCCGCAGTGGACAGCTTGATCCTAATACCACCAAAGTGTTATTCAAATAATTTTAATCCCATCCTGATCCTGCACATTCCGTTTCACATATCACACGCTTGGCTCGCACGTCCATATTACATACATACATGTTACATACATACATGTACCATGTTACATACATACATGTTACATGCATACATGTTACATGCACATATACTTACTACAAACAGACATGTTACAAACAGACATGTTACATACATACATGTTACATACTTACGACTGTAGTGTGATTCGAAGAGGACCACGGAGTGATTCGAATAATTCGAATGCGATTCGAAAATCACACTTCAAGGTAGGTTGTTCTAATCTATAACACTAGTTAATAATGTTATTGTATAGCGTTATAATGTATAGCTCATAGGTTATATTGTTAGAGTTCACAACATTAGATTTTACTATAAAAGTAGTTTACAGTGTTATTGGTATAGCGTTACAATGTATAGCTATAACAGTTATAATGTTAGAGTTTATAATGTTAGAGCTTACAGTTTGAGTTTATAATGTGAGAGTTTTTGACCGTGCCCTGTCCTCGTGGGACCCCACACGGAGTTTACTATAATACAAGTTTACAGTAATTTGTAGATTCTTCAAATGTATATGTGAATGTTTTTAAGTTACCATTGTTGAAGTTCATAATGTTAAAGTTCACATGTGAGAGTATATCCAAGACGTCGATCGATGGCGTTGGTCTGGTAGGTTGGTGTCACGGGACACCAACATGCTGCCGATATAACAGTAACAGAAGCAACTACAGCAGCTACGAAACCATTCGATGGCAAAGCAGCGACTTCTTCTTCAATCTGAGAGTTTGTGGCCGTGCCCTGTTCTCGTGGGACCCGACACGGATTTGGAAATAATTGCTATGATCATGTCTGAGCTGGGATGGGCGACAAATGTTTACTTTGTTTAATCATAACTGTGTGCAGGTTAGTGCCATCGGTGCTTAGTGAATACTACTCATGAATGAACTCATACTTCTTTCGGATATAAATTGAAATCATGTTGGTAGAACAAGTCGCCTGCCTTTTCTAGACGAATTGTTATCTTCAAGTGCGTCCGTAAATATACTGCTAAAATACACAGCATAGGGAAGGCTGCCTTGTTGGGGAGATGTAGTTTGGGTAAGGCGCTGTGACGAGTCAAACATCCGCTGCTTGGCCCCGTCGACAGCAGCGAAGGCTGTCAGATACCGCGCCATTTACGAGTTGGCTGTACAATGTGTATAGTTGAAGGTGCTCGGTGTTGTCTTCTTCTAACAGATACTAACGTGCGTGTGTTGTCTGTTTTTACGATTTGTCCATTGATGTTTTTTTTATTGCGGCGTTTTTTTATTGAGTTCTGTCACTTGAGTGTTGCAGTTTGTTTAAGAATTCGTCACGTGAGCGTGGTGTTTTACTTGTGGGAATTTCGCTTTGTCACAATTTGTGATTGTTATAATAATTGTAAAGATTCATAATCTCATGAGTTTATAATGGGTTTGTGCGTGATTCTTATACGACCACACTGTGATTCTAATGCTTCTAATGATATTATAATACCTTACCTCCGTTTACATGGTTATAAATTAAAACACTAGTTAATAATCGTTTAATGTTTAGTGTTATAGTTTATAGTATTACAGTTTACATGTTATAGAGTACAGTTTATCCCCGGCATACTTCGGGATTAGGGACTGGTACGTTGAGAAACGATTAACAAAGGGGACCTTTCCCCTCAAGGAACACGTGTTAGGGACTGGTACGTTGAGAAACGATTAACAAAGGGGACCTTTCCCCTCAAGGAACACGTGTTAATCGGGTAGACAGCCAAGATGCTGCCGGTTAAGGGCACACTTGTGTGACAAAGATCCTCCACCTGAAATTAGCTTAACATGTTTTTGCTAGGAGCATCATAAAATAAAGAACGGACAAACATTTGTTAAAAATACGTTTTTATTCATCTGCAATCATTTTTACGTCAAAACTCGAACCGAATATTTATTACAATTCCAGTGCAATGCAAACCATTTCCGTTCCAGGAATACCAAAGCGTTAAAGGATCATTCCCCATGATTTCCTTATTAGTTCACCACATTTGTTCACTGTGCGTCAATGTTGAAGTCAAGGCCATATATCCAACGAACGCGTCATCAATGTACATCCTGAAATCGACTATCTAAAGTCGATTATTACCAACCCAAAAAAACTTTATACTTGAAAAAAAAACCTTTTATAATGTTGAGTAAAGATCTAACTACAGACGCATTCCAACTTTAGCTCAACAGGAACACTTAACGACTACAATTGAACCCTCTCACAACCAGTGCTCATCACACCACTTCGGCAAGTAATCCGATAACATTACAAACCACCACTGGGCACGTAATTAAACTCACAAAAACTGTAAAACAAAAATGGTCAAAATTATACGCAAAAGTACTCGATACGGATTAAAAGGTATAACCACATGACGTAATTTTTTTTCAGTCTCTCCGAGCTCTCTGGTTGACTCTCGAGCCACTCCATTACATCCAGCCATCTCTCGGGATCCAACTGCATGGGATCGAAGGTGGAAACTTCTTTAGAACTCATTGCAGCACCTTGAATTTCAGCTTTTGATTTCAGTTTCCTATCATTTTGGACCTTCTGATGCCTGTTGATGTTTGATGAGCGTGCAAATGTCTTCCCACACACAGGGCACAGGAATGGTTTCTCGCCCGTGTGTGTTTTCTGATGGTCTTGAAGATGTGATGACTTTGCAAATGCCTTTCCACACACAGGGCACAGGAATGGCTTCTCGCCCGTATGCGTTCTCTGATGAGTTTGAAGAGTTAATGACCGTGCAAATGTATTCCCACACAGAGAACACAAGAATGGCTTCTCACCCGTGTGTGTTTTCTGGTGACTCTGAAGATTTGATGACTTTGCAACAGCCTTTCCACACACAGGGCACAGGAATGGCTTCTCACCCGTGTGTGTTTTCTGGTGACTCTGAAGATGTGATGAGTGTGCAAATGTCTTCCCACACACCGAGCACAGGAACGACTTCTCGCCCGTGTGCGTTCTCTGGTGTCTCTGATGGCCGTGAAAAGGACTTCCCACACACAGAGCAATTGAATGGCTTCTCGCCTCCGTGTGCGTGGGGCTGTGGAGAGCGTCTCTGCTCCATGTGAGCGTAGTAACAGCAGCGGTGTTATCGAGTCAAAAGTACGCTATCGGTCGCAAGGATGTTTAGCGTTGAGTTTTGGATTTTGTTAATTGCTAAAACAAGAACGACGCTCGCGTCTAACCAAGACGCAAAAAAATCCCGCTAATTCAACGACGAAAACGTTTAAGAGTTTATCCGCGAAAATAGACACTTACTTGGAGATTCACGGTATATCGATGTCTGGAACCCGTCTGAAGATGTCGCCACGAACTCTCCCGACGCAAAGTCGCCTAACTGTCGACACAGCAATTGTGCTCGCCAGGCTGCGTTGTCTCGCGGTTGAAGGGCGATCAGCAGAGCGACGAGTCGAGCGTCCAACCTCATCAAGTTCCCTCTCGAAATGGCATTGAGCTCTGCTTCTGAGCCGCCTTATAACTCCCCCCCTAGGATCCAATCCTTTGTCTCTCAGGATATTTGCATTCGATTGTTAATTTTGGAAGGTACAATCCGCATGTCTATTAACATACCGAAGAGTAATGTGTCCGTTGTACTTCATGCATGAATATGTAAGTGCATCTCAGTGTGTAATTGTGCGCTTATTTTGAATAAATGGAAAAACTTTGTCCTCGATTTAAAGTGAATGCAGAGAAATTAGCATGTAACTTTAGAAAAGGAAGAGAGCGGCCTTCTCGACGAGGGAGTGAAACCCAATAGGTAATATTCTTTTACAGCGTTACAATGGATAGGTTGTAGTTCATAGGTTATAATATTATGTTTCACTATGATAGAGCTTAACATGTGAGAGTCTACAATATCAGAGTTGATAAAATGCGACGATCAAGGGCGTCAATCGGGTGAGTTTGAACAGAGGCTTTAATCAAAGGCGTCATCCCATCACGGAACACCACCTCTCTGCGATTATTACAGCAACAGAAGCAACTACAACAGCAACAACAGCAGCAACATCACATTTCGAGGGCAACGCAGCTACTTCCGATTCTGCTGCCCAGCTGTTTGTAGTCGGGACCTGCTCTCGCAGGACCCCACACGTCTTTGGAAATGATTGCGATGATCATGTCTGAGCTCAGAATTAAGTCACTCAAGATTACTTTTTTAACCATAACCTTAGGTAGGTTAGTGTCATCGGGGCTCTGTGAATACTACTCATGAATGAAATCACACTCCTGTATGACCGAGATTGTACTAATTTTGGTTGATCGAGTAGAACAAGGCACGTAACATGTCCAGACGAATTCTTATCAACAACAGTGTCCTTAAATATGATGCTAAAATAAATGTTAACACTGGATTAAACGTGCACCTCTTAACCCCTCCCTCGCATTTACGACTAACAATTTGCATTTGCACATAACATACATTCAAGTACAGTAATTTGCTAAAACGACCAAATTGTCATTCTAAAATTTGAATGCCATTCTTACCCTCGACCCCCACAGTTCACATATCCGACCGTCGGTTCGATTGAACGGACAATTAACAAACATGTGTAAAGTTCCATTATAATACTTCTAATGAAATTAAAATACCGTACCTCCGTTTATGGTGGTATAAATTATAAAACCAGTTGGTAGCTTTTTTTGTCGTTTAATGTTTAGTGTTATTGTTTATAGTGTTATCAATTTACGTGTTTTTAAGTACAGGTGATTCCCGGTATACTTCGGTATTCTGGACCTGAACGTTGCACCGTCTCTCTGGGGACCCGTGTGGTGTGTGTAGCGAGTATCACGGGGTGGGCGGGTAGTGTGGTGATAGTGGTCACGGTCGGCACCGATGCACGACCACCGCCACCACCCCTACTGGGCGGTGGACCTGCCACCACAAAGCAGCACGCGGCGGAGGAGTGAGGCAATCGCTCTCGCCACTCGAGCAAGGCCCCCTCGCTTCCTCTTCTTTTCGTGCATCTCCACCTGCACCTCTTCCGTTTTCTCCTCCGTCTCATCCTCCTCCATCCCCTCTTCTTCATCCTGCACCACCATCTTCTCCTCTACCTCCTCCTCCTCTTCCTGCGCCACCTCCATCTTCTCCATCTTCTTCTCCTCCGCTAGTACCATCTCTTCCTCCTTCATCTGCTCCTCAACTTCCGGCACCACCATCTCCACCACCGTCTTCTCTTCCTCCTCCACCACCATTGTTTCCCCTTTGTCCGTCGTCTCCATGTCCTCCACCACGACCATCTGTTCATCCTTTGTTGTCTCCTTGTCCTCCATCTCCGTATTGTCTTTCTCCTCTCCCTCCGTGTTCTCCTCCATTGTCACCATCACAATCTCGTCCTCCTTTGCCTTCTCTTCCTCCGTCTCTACTTCATCCTCCATCTCCTTCACCTCTTCCTTCGTCTCCTTCTCCACAACCTCTGTCTTCACTTCAAAGGCCTGGACGAGTGAGGAGGAGGGCTGCGCTGGCTCAGATCTGTGAAGAGACAACACGACACCGTTCTAGATTTGAAGCTTTCGTGACTGCAATGATTCATATTCTTAGGTTTTTTCGGTAAAGTCACGTAGGTAAAAAAACATTAAAAAGTAAAATAAAATAACATAAAAAATAAAAATCACGACGTTTCGGAGGCAACACAAGCTTCCGTCTTCAGGTGGAACCGTCACAGCCACGACAGCTGTATCAGGTAAATGAGAGATTGCAGAAGCTGCCACTTCGTTTATATAATGGTTGGAGAAGGTGGTGGGGCAAGGGCCGCATACTTTTATTTATATGGTAAGGTGAGGCTTAAGACTAAGAATAGACTGCATATCAAAGGCTTAGCCTTTGTTATAGAGAGGTGCGGTTTGTGACTCAACCTGTAACAGGGAGACCACTACTAGACATGGTAAAACTGATGGTTGTCTGTCAAACACGACACCGTTCCACCTTGCTGCTACGGTAGACATCGCCATCTTCCCATCGTCCGTGGGTGGAATGTGTGGCGGATTAATTCGAGCTGAATATAAACAGCAATCCGACATGGCAAGTGAGTGTGCTTAGTATTGGTGCTGTCATTCTCATGGCGCCAGGCTATCCTTGAGATAGGTGCAGCTGTGTCTCACACAGACTGCTGTAGTTTCACAGTAGTGGGTGGCGTTGCTGTGCAAATTTAGCTGAATAATTTGAAGTGACATTTTTTTGGTTCTTTCGGTAAAGTCACGTAGGTATAAAATAAAATAAATTTTATCACAACGTTTCGATTTCAACACAAGCAATCATCATCAGGTAGGAAAACCACAGCAAGAAACGTTCTTGCAATAACGACATGGCCATCGAAACGTCGTGATTAAATTATATTTATTCTATTTCATACCTACGTGAATTTACCGAAATAACCAAAGAGTATGGATCCCTGTAGTCACTAAAACTTCAAATCTAGATTGAACATATTCTATATGTATATTCTAATTGACCCCTTGCACATAATGTCCTAAGCATTTCAAATGGCATCGATAGAGATCCTGAACGTCCACTGTGACGGAATGGGTGTGGATCTGTGTGGTCAATGCAGCAGCAATAATAGCCAGGGCGGGAAGCAAGATCTGAACTGTAATGGTGAAGAATGAGTGCACGAAAATTTGGTCGCTTCAACACATCCACGATTTAAAAAAAGTGTCCGTCAGTGATTTGTGGTCGAGAGAGCCACCTCCCTTGACGTCGAAGACATCTCAGAGTGCATTGCATGCGATGAGCCTCTCGCATCTCTCATCTCATCGCGTTTTAAATTGGACACCCCTCTCAGTGGTAGCTGTCGCTGTGCATTACAAAGCGACTTGGCAGCTGGCCTGGAAACATGCGATAGACAGCAAAAATCTCACGGTGGATGGAGGGTTACATGGTGAAGATATGCCCACTTCGTTATGTGGTCTAACCCAGAAACCAGTTATGAAAAATAAATCTGTCCTCAGTATAGCGGAATGTACACGTGGGGTTTGCAGTGTCTGTGAACTTTGAGAGCGCGACAGGGCTTGAGCACCTGTGCATCACAGCAACATTGACCTGGGTTTGAGTACCACGTTTGGCCACATTCTCCGTGTGGATTATGCAGCCACCTGTTCTGTGAAGGTTCTGCAGCTTTCTCCCTGATACTGAACCCACACAAGCAATGCAAATCGTTCAATTTGGATCGCAAACAGTAGCAACTTTTTTTTTCTTCTTCTTGGTTCTTTCGGTAAAGTCAGTGAGAATAATTTTATTATGTTTTATTTTTATTATTTTATTACTTCCCTTCTACGTGACTTTACCGAAAGAACCAAGAAGATGAATCCCTGCAGTCACGAAAGCTTTAAATCAAAAAGTAGCAACTTTCTTGCAAAATGCGAGCAAACTTGGCAGAATCCTCCTGAAAAAAGTCTTGAGACCGAGTAAGGCTGATGCTGCGTGAGAAGCATGGCAATAAATAGCAAAGATAAACACACAGGGCGCACACGCAGAGTGCTTTACCGTGGCTCAATGATTCCGGAGTTTGCTTTATTTGTCAATTGTTGTTCTTTTTTAGGCTTTTTTTTGCTCTGTCACTTGAGTGTTGCAGTTTGAGAATTCGTCATGTGACAGTGGTGTTTTTATAAATATTCCGTCTATTGCTATTCGATGACATTGAGATGAGACCTTCATCTAGCAGTGAAAATCGTGATTGTAATACGACCGTGTTGTAATTTTAATAATTTTATCCGATCCTTGCACGTACACTATACATACATATTAGCGTTTCTTATACGACCACACTGTGATTCTAATGCTTCTAATGATATTATAATACCTTAGCTCCGTTTATATGGTTATAAATTGAAACACTAGTTTATAATCGTTTAATGTTTAGTGTTATCGTTCATAGTATTTCAGTTGACATGTTATAGAGTACAGTTTATCCCCGACATACTTGTGTGACGGAGATCCTCCTTCTGAAATTATCTTAACATTTTTTTTGCTAGGAACATTATAAAATAAAGACCGGACAAACGTTTGTTAAAAAATCGTTTTTATTCATCTGCAATAATTTTTACGTAAAAACTCGAAGGGAATATGTATTACATCCTATGTTCACACATTTCCAGTACAATGCAAACCATTTCCGTTCCAGGAATACCAAAGGGTTAAAGTATCATTTCCATGATTTCACCACATTTGTTCACTGTGCGTCTATGTTGAAGTCAAGGCCATATATTCAACGAACGCGTCATCAATGTACATCCTGGAATCGGCTATCTTAAGTCGATTAATACCAATCAAAAAAAGCTATATACTTGAAAAAAAACGTTTAAAATGTTGAGTAAAGATGTACCTACAGACGCATTCCAACTTTAGCTCAACAGGAACACCTAACGACTACAATTAAACCCTCTCACAACCAGTGCTCATCACACCACTTCAGCAAGTAATCCGATAACATTACAAACCACCACTGTGCACGTCATTAAACTCTCAAAAAAACTGTAAAACTAAAATGGTCAAAATTACACACAAAAGTACTCGATACGGCTTAATAGGTATAACCGCATGCAACATTATATTTCAGTCACCCCGAGCTCTCGGTTTGATCCTCGAGCCACTCCATTACATCCAGCCATCTCTCGGGATCCAACTGCATGGGATCGAAGGTGGAAACTTCTTGAGGACTCATTGCAGCACCTTGAATTTCAGCTTTTGATTTCAGTTTCCTATCATTGTGGACCTTCTGATGCCTGTTAAGAGTTGACGACTGTGCAAATGCCTTCCCACACACAGGGCACAGGAATGGCTTCTCCCCCGTGTGTGTTCTCTGATGGTCTTGAAGAGTTGACGACTGTGCAAATGCCTTCCCACACACAGGGCACAGGAATGGCTTCTCGCCCGTGTGCGTTCTCTGATGAGTTTGAAGAGTTGACGATTGTGCAAATGCCTTCCCACACACAGGGCACAGGAATGGCTTCTCGCCTGTGTGTGTTCTCTGATGAGTTTGAAGAGTTGATGAGTCTGCAAATGTCTTCCCACACACAGGGCACAGGAATGGCTTCTCGCCCGTGTGTGTTCTCTGGTGTCTCTTAAGACTTGATGACCATGAAAATGCCTTCCCACACACAGAGCAATTGAATGGCTTCTTGTCTCCGTGTGCGTGGGGCTGTGGAGAGCGTCTCTGCTCCATGTGAGCGTAGTAACAGTAGCGGTGTTATCGAGTCAAAAGTACGCTATCGGCCGCAAGGATGTTTAGCGTCGAGTTTTGGATTTTGTTAACTGCTAAAATAAGAACGACACTCGCGTCTAACCGAGATGCAAAAAAATCCCGCTTATTTGACGACGAACACGTTTAAGAGTTTGTCTGCGAAAATAGACACTTACCTGGAGATTCACGGTATATCGATGTCTGGAAACCCGTCTGAAGATGTCGCCACGAACTCTCCCGACACAAAGTCGCCTAACTGTCGACACAGCAATTGTGCTCGCCAGGCTGCGTTGTCTCGCGGTTGAAGGGCGATCAGCAGAGCGACGAGTCGAGCGTCCAACCTCATCAAGTTCCCTCTCGAAATGGCATTGAGCTCTGCTTCTGAGCCGCCTTATAACTCCCCCCCTAGGATCCAATCCTTTGTCTTTAAGGATATTTGCATTCGATTGTTAATTTTGGAAGTCACAATCCGCATGTAGATTAACATACCGAAGGGTAATGTGCCCATTGTGCTTCATGCATGATAATGTAAGTGCATCTCAGTGTGTAATTATGCGCTTATTTTGAATAAATGGAAAAACACGTTCCACCTGCCCTCCATTGTCCTCGATTTAAAGTGAATGCAGCCCCGTGGCGTTGCCAAAAATCGCCGAGCTTCGTGTGTGAGCACATACAGACGCGTAGTGACCACACTTGCAACACAATCACTCTAACATCAGTAACCAAAATCCGATCTGGTACATGGTCTCCGCTTGGTCTGGTTTGTATCCGTCATCACTCCGGAGACAAACAGCGAGGCATGGTTTGGCCAGCCACCAACTCGTTTGCCAAAGCGACTTTAATAGCTGCTCTCAAACAACACTATCACCAATAGTGGTTTATGGGCTAGGCTGTTAAGCGGACAATCAGTCTTTTTGGGCAAGGCGTATGGGGAAATACACACCTCTGTTATCCCATAAACACAATACACAGCATCGGTAAGGCTGCCTTGTTGGGGAGATGTAGTTTGGGTAAGGTGCTGCAACTGGAGTTAGGCGATGTGACTGGGTTATCACACGGATTCCTAAAAGCAGCTTAGACAATACGATCCACTGCGCTCCATCTCCCCACATGAACGACGACATTCTGAGTTTTAAAAAAAGTGGAATATATATTTGTAAATACGTTTTTTTAAATAATGTTTCTTGTATCTATGTTACAATGTGTGATAGTTATATTCTTTATTAGTGTATACTGTATATACTTACATGGCTATTCGATTCCATTGATACGACACATTCATCCAACAGTGGAAAGTGTGATTCTAATACGAGTGGGATTCGAATAATTGTAATTCGATTCTAATCCTGCATATCCTACCCCCGGTTGTCATATTAACTTACCATACGTACAACCACCGTGTGATTCTAATTAGCTCAGTGCTAGTCTAATGATTAGTATGCGATTATAATCCCATACCTCCAATTATGTGGTTCTGCACTATAACAGTTAATCGTATTTTCCAGCGTAACAATGGATAGGTTGTAGTTCATATGTTATAATATTATATTTCACTATGTTAGAATTTAACATGTGAGAGTTTACAATGTCAGAGTTGATCAAGAGCCTCAATCTTGATCGACGCAGAAGCAAATACAGCAGCAGCAGCAACATCACATTTCGAGAGCGACGCAGCTACTTCTGATTCTGCTGCTTCCGCTGCTCAGATATTTGTTGCCGTGCCCTGCTCTCGCGGGACCCCACACGTCTTTGGAAATGATTGAGATGAAGATGTCTGAGCTGATAATTAATTTAATAAAGAGTACTTTGTTTGTGTGTGTAGGTCTGTGTCATCGGGGATCAGCGAATACTGCTTATGAATAAACTCGCACACAGTTATGGTGAAACAAAGTAAACTTTATTCGCTCAAACCTCTGCTCAGACATGATCATAGCAATCATTTCCAAAGACGTGTGGGGTCTTGCGAGAGCAGGGCCCGACCACAAACACACATTTCAAACCTTGTAAAACAGTCTGCCTCAGCAGCAGACCATGCTTTCCCACCTGACAGACGCTTGTGTTGCGCCTGCAACGTTGTGAATTATTTAATGCCTATGTGTCTTTTACTGAAAGAACCAAAGAGTTTATAATATTATAAACTATGAACTACAACCTATCCATTATAACTCCGTAAAATACTATTAATTGTTATAGTGTATAATCACGTAAATTTAGGTATGGCATTATAATCGCATAAGAATCATTAGAAGCGCACTGTGCTCATATTAGAATCACACTGTGGTCGTACGTATCGTAAGCGAATATGCAAACACGATATGCAGGATTAGAATCGAATTATAATTATTCGAATCCCACTAGTCGGATTAGAATCACACTGTACACTATTGGATGAATGTGTGGTATCAATGGAATTTATTAGCTATTTTCAGTATATACACACATTTAAAGAGTATAACAATCACACATTATAACATTTATACAATACACATGATTTCAAAAAACTTTTTAAACATTTCCATTCATTTTTTTTTAAACTGAGAATGTCGTTGTCCATGTGGGGAGATGGAACACAGTGGACCGTATCGTCTAAGCTGCTTTTAGGAATCCGTGTGATAACCCAGTCACATCGCCTAACTCCAGTGACAGCAACTTACCCAAACTACATCTCCCCAACAAGGCAGCCTTACCGATGCTGTGTATTGTGTTTGTGGGATAACAGAGGTGTGTATTTTCCCATGCGCCTTGCCCAAAACGACTGATTGTCCGCTAAACAGCCTAGACTGTAAACCACCATTGGTGATAGTGTTGTTTGAGAGCAGCTATTAAAGTCGCGTTGGCAAACGAGGTGGTGGCTGGCCAAACCATGCCTCGCTGTTTGTCTCCAGAGTGATGACGGATACAAACCAGACCAAGCGGAGACCATGTACCAGATCGAATTTTGGTTACTGATGTTAGAGTGATTGTATTGCAAGTGTGGTCACTACGCGTCTGTACGTGCTCACACACGAAGCTCGGCGATTTTTGGCAACGCCACGGGGCTGCATTCACTTTAAATCGAGGACAATGGAGGGCATGGGGAACGTGTTTTTCCTGCGATAATTACATTTATTCAAAATAAGCGCACAATTACACACTGAGATGCACTTACATATTCATGCATGAAACACAATGGGCACATTACCCTTCGGTATGTTAATAGACATGCGGATTGTGCCTTCCAAAATTTACAATCGAATGCAAATATCCTGAAAGACAAAGGATTGGATCCTAGGGAGGGGGGAGTTATAAGGCGGCTCAGAAGCAGAGCTCAATGCCATTTCGAGAGGGAACTTGATGAGGTTGGACGCTCGACTCGTCGCTCTGCTGATCACCCTTCAACCGCGAGACAACGCAGCCTGGCGAGCACAATTGCTGTGTCGACAGTTAGGCGACTTTGCGTCGGGAGAGTTCGTGGCGACATCTTCAGACGGGTTCCAGACATCGATATACAGTGAATCTCCAAGTAAGTGTCTATTTTCGCGGATAAACTCTTAAACGTGTTCGTTGTCAAATTAGCAGGATTTTTTTGCATCTCGATTTGACGCGAGTGTCGTTCTTGTTTTAGCAGTTAACAAAATCCAAAACTCAACGCTATACATCTTTTCGGCCGAAAGAGTACTTTTGACACCATAACACCACTGCTGTTACTACGCTCACATGGAGCAGAGACGCTCTCCACAGCCCCACGCACACGGAGACAAGAAGCCATTCAATTGCTCTGTGTGTGGTAAGTCCTTTTCATGGCCATCACATCTTCAGAGACACCAGAGAACACACACGGGTGAGAAGCAATTCCCGTGCTCTGTGTGTGGGAAGACATTTGCACACTCGTCAACTCTTCAAACCCATCAGAGAACACACACGGGCGAGAAGCCATTCCTGTGCTCTGTGTGTGGGATAGAATTTGCACGGTCATCAACTCTTCAAGATCATAAGAAAAACACACGGGTGAGAAGCCATTCATGTGCCCTTTGTGTGGGAAGACATTTGCTAAGTCATCACATCTTCAAAGTCACCAGAGAACACACACGGGCGAGAATCTATTCCTGTGTTCTGTGTGTGGGAAGACATTTGCACACTCGTCAACTCTTCAAAACCATCAGAGAACACACACGGGTGAGAAGACGTTCATGTGCCCTGTGTGTGGGAAGACATTTGCACAGTCATCACATCTTCAGAGTCATCAGAGAACACACACGGGCGAGAAGCCATTCCTGTGCTCTGTGTGTGGGGAGGCCTTTACACGGGCATCAACTCTTCAAACTCATCAGAGAACACACACGGGCGAGAAGCCGTTCCTGTGTTCTGTGTGTGGGAAGGCATTTTCACTTTCAGCAAACTGCCAACGCCATCAGAGAACACACACGGGCGAGACGCCATTCCTGTGCCCTGTGTGTGGGAAGGCATTTGTACGGTCATCAACCATGAACAGGCATCAGAAGGTCCACAATGATAGGAAACTGAAATCAAAAGCTGAAATTCAAGGTGCTGCAATGAGTCCTGAAGAAGTTTCCACCTTCGATCCCATGCAGTTGGATCCCGAGAGATGGCTGGATGTAATGGAGTGGCTCGAGAGTCAACCAGAGAGCTCGGGGTGACTGAAAAAAAATATTATGTTACGTGGTTATACCTTTTAAGCCGTATCGAGTACTTTTGTGTGTAATTTTAGCCATTTTAGTTTTACAGTTTGTGAGAGTTTAATGACGTGCCCAGTGGTGGTTTGTAATGTTATCGGATTACTTGCCGAAGTGGTGTGATGAGCACTGGTTGTGAGAGGGTTCAATTGTAGTCGTTATATGTTCCTGTTGGAATGCGTCTGTAGGTACATCTTTACTCAACATTTTAAAGATTTTTTGTCAAGTGTATGGCTTTTTTAGATAGCTGATTTCAGG